TTGAAGTACTGCTTGTTTTATAATCTGCAATCAATTAATATTCATTGTAAAACATAATGAAAGGGCATCAAGTTTTGTATTGTAACAGAAGTAGAATTAAAGCTAAATTCAGCAAAAATACCTATAACAGAAACAAGGCATTTTCCTTTTAAATATCTCTGGATATACCGCCAATATAAAAACACATTTAAATTTGAGCGATTTTATGAAATATTTAATTTTAATTTTAACTAACCGAACTAAAATTATATTTCTTGGCAATCACTCTTGTTGCTAAAACCTTTCAATAGGTCTAAGTCACACAAATTATTTATTTAATAAATAGTTCCGTGAAATACTAATTTAGAGTCGAATAAAAAGCATTGAAAAAACGAAATAATAAATAACAACAATATTTACTCGTATTTAAAAATAAATTACTAAAATTACCCATTAAATACACTAACAGACAATCTCATCCAACTATGGTTTGGGTCGTGTGCAAAATACGAAGCTTGATTGAGACAGTTCACTTCCAAATTTTTAGGTGAGGACGTTATTCAATTATTTGTGCATGATAACATTTGTTGGGACAAGATTTGAGCGTATTTTTGGAATAACGGCACATTTTCGAATTTTTGGTGGATGCGCCAGTAATTAATAGGTAACAACATTATACTAAAACCTATTTTACAATTACTAATTCTTCACCCAATAAATTGACAAGAAATTGAAAACTGTAGATCCGGTTCTAATCGATTGGAAAATCTTCCTTAGAATGAATGGAATATATCAAAAATTATAAATAACGCTAAAATTTTTGTAAATAAATTTTGTATTTATATTTTATGCTGATGAATTCCTTGTACAATTTATTTCATGAAAAATTTATAAATATAAAACACGTTTACTGCTGAACACAGTTTTGTGAAAAGGCACTATTATAAATTACTAGTTCTACATAAATTCAATGAAAACGGGTATTAAAAAGGAATTTAGGAAAAAAGGTAATCGTAATTATCACACAAGAAATACCTAAATTAGAAGAAGATAAATATTAAATTATTATTAACAAAATAATCTTTTGTATCAGTGAAAATAATTTGAGTTTTGTTTTTTTTATTATGCTCGTGACTAGTATTTTTTTAATATTTGAATTTTCATGTGTCACTGCACAAAAAACTGTTAGATGAATTTTTTGCGTATTTTATTATAAAATGGCATTAAGAACATAAAATAAATTTAAAAAAATACAAATAATCAACAACCTAACAAGAGTGCCACCAAAAAAATTGTCGTTATTTTTGAAATTCCGTATTTTTAGCATTTTGTGAGAAAGAGTAGTTAGGTCCTCATTACATAACCAATATTAAACGAAAAATGTGAAAAAATAATTTTATTTCTTTTAATTTCATTATCTTGTAGTAAAGTAAAAAATTGGACATTTATAATTTACTACATTTTTGATTCTCTACATTTTTCAATTTATTTTACACTTGTTGTGAATCACCCTTTATAGGAACAATATTTATAATCAATAAACTTCGAAGGCATATGAGCAAAAATAAGCCATACTTATACATTTTATAACATTCTTATATACAGGTTCGAAAAGTACCGATGGTCCATCTGCCGTTACGTGAAAGCGATAAAGACATAGAAATCCGTGCGATAGAGAAAGATGGCTATATTGAAGGCGTCTAATAGTCACCGCCCATTTCGCCTTTCCACAAATAAGATCCACTTCTTATTTGTGGAAGGGCGAAATGGGCGGTGACTATTAGACGCCTTCATTATAGCCATCTTTCTCTATCGCACGGATTTCTATGTCTTACTTTATCGCTCTCACGTAACGGCAGATGGACCATCGGTACTTTCCGAACCTGTATTTTAAAACAATATTATTAGAAATACGAGGTCTGTACAGAAAATAACCACCCATTCGCACACTTCTTCTAGCGGTGTTTCCATTTCGCCAAGCACTCCTGAATAGCTTTATTTATTTATTTACTCTTAAAATATCCAACCCACTTAAAGGATAAGTTGTAATACAATAAAAAAAATACATCAATGAAAAAAGCTATAAAAATTCGTTACATCCTAAAAATTAATATAAAAGTTGCAAAAGAATAAAAAAGACCAATACACAAGAACAATACAAAATCTTAAGATTAAAAATAATGTAATATAAAAGTCACAGTCAATAAAAACAAGCAACAGAACAGTCAAACAAGGAAAAAAATACATATTAAAATTAAAAGAAATAAGAATACACAAAATACACTTATTTAAAACATTCCTTTACGTCCCTTACATTACAAAAAGTAATACCAAAACCCTCCATATTGTTACAATTACTCAACATTTCATATAAAGGCGACTTTAATAATAATTCGCTTTAATGCCATCAATAGTCTGAAAACGGCGTCCTTTCAGCACTGGTTTTAATTTCGGAAATAAGAAAAATTCGCAAGGAGACAGATCTGGCGAGTAAGGAGGGTGAGGGAGGTCAGAAATCTCTTTTTTGGCACATAACTGACGAACTGACAAAGCTGAGTGTGCGGGCGCATTGTCATGGTGTAATAACCATGAGTTATTTCGCCAGAATTTTGGTCTCTTTTTGTTTTTTTTCACCGTTGTAAAGGGCCTTGGTACAAACGGTTCACTGTTTCACTTTGTGGCCCAAAAAGTCAAAGATGCGAAGAAAAGGCATTCTTGATAAAAGTTTTTGCTTGGTTAGAAAATACGAATCACCACGACGAACTTCAATTTTGTTGTACAGGGTGGGTCAGAAACATAAAAATGTTATTTTGCGTAAGAGTAAACATACATTATTTTGCAAGATACGAAAAAAAGGCATTCTTGATACAAGTTTTTTCTTAAAAAATGAATAAGAGTCGCGTTATCAAAAATTTAATTTTTTTAAACGGAGAACAACATAAAAAACTAAAATACGTCTAATTCCAGTGTAATTTTTAAATAATACGAACATAATTACAACAATTAAGTAAAAAAAGTAAACAAAACAATATGATGAAGATATCAAATTTCAAAAATACTTAAGGAATTTCTGATATCTTCCTAGAATACTGAACAGACAGCCTGGGTAATTCTAACTTTTAGCAGTTCAATATCATTTGATATGGAAGCAGCATAAACAATTTGTTTTAAATGGTCCCATAGAAACATATCGGTCATGGTTAAGTCTGGGCTCTTTAGGGGCCACAAAATCTAGTTCTACCAATCCATCTTGGACCAAATCTATGATTAAGCCGTTCTGCTTTTGTTTTGTCCGCGTTTTTTTCAAGTGTAGCCCCCTTCCGCACAGTCTTTGGCTTTGGATTTGGGGGTTGTCTCATTTCTGTGGTGTGTTTTATGTTTTTTATGTTACCTTATGAGCACCTGCTGAAAATACATTTTTTGGCGAAAATTTAATGGTAAACTTTCGAGTTCATCGCTAAAAAAATTATCAAGCATTTCTAAGTACGATATTCTATTGTAGGCGTTATTGTAAAAATAATGCAATGGACAGGATATCGCGAACCAAACGTTCAAGATTGTAAAATATTGGCTTCGTGTTATTCTAAATTCAGGGTTTTCTGGAGACCAGTACCTGATGTGCTGGGATGCTACAGTTCCATTAGTAGAAAATGTACATTCATCAGAAAACATAATAAACTTATAAAAATCAAAACTTCCATTTAAAATGTTGTCTCTTACTCACAAACAAAAATCTAGTCTTTTCGCTTCATCTCTTGCAGTGTTTGATTAAAGTGAGGTTTGAAACACGATTTCTAAGGGACATCCTAAGAGTTCCTCTAACAGACTGCAGAACTAAAACTGTGACAGCATCATTATGGTCATATTTCTACAAATTTAATTTTTGATAACGTGACTCATTCATTTTTCAAGCAAAAATTTTGATTAAGAATGCCTTTTTTCGTATCTTGCAAAATAAAATAAGTATGTTTACTTTTACGCAAAATAACATCTTTGTGTTTTTGACCCACCCTGTACAACAAAATTGAAGTTCGTCGTGGCGATTCGTATTTTCTAACCAAGCAAAAACTTTGATCAATATTGCCCTTTTTTCGTATCTTTGACTTTTTGGTCCATTTGTCCTCTTGTAAACTGAATCCGCGGACATACTGTAGGTATGTATTTAAAAAGGAATATTTTGCATTTAATTCTAAAAAAATTTGTTTACATAATCATTAAATGAGAAAATACTTTAATTATTACATGTGGATAATTAAAATGTGTAGAATAATTGTCCTTTCCTTAAATTTAAACAGTAATGAAAACTTTGAAGACCATACATCTTTAAAAAATCACGTAAGATGTCCATTGTCCATTGAACCTTGGACTACACCCGTGAATTGCTTGTTGAAAATTAGATTTTTTTTAAATCAATTGGAAAATAAATGTTTAAGGCATTGGTTGAACGATTTCCGGGCTGGTTGCCAGGTCGACGTTTCGAGAGACATACAGCTCTCTTCGTCAGAAGTTACTCTGAAACTGAATTTCAGCCCGGAAATCATTCAACCATTAACGACAACCACGGAAGCCTACAAACAAAATGTATAAGACACTTCTGAGCATGTGCAGAAGGTGAACAAAAAAGAAATTAATGAAAAATGTCAGATATTTGAAAACTTAAAAAAAAATTGCTGACGGCTTATATCGCGAAAACCAAGCAATGTTGCATATTAAGCCAATGGGATTAAAATAACATATTTTCATGTCGAAAATGATCCTTAAGTTGTGTCCCTATTTTTATGCATATACGGATTCGAAACCAAGTCAAAATTTTCCGTCCCGATCCCCTTAAGGAAGAAATGAGAGGATCCACGAGTTCCGTCTATTACGAATCCCCGCAAAAATAGTAGGATGCCCCGCGGATGAATAATGCGGGAGACCGCGAGTGAGCGAAAACCGAAAAATACTCGAAGCGGATGACGTAGCGGGACGCCTAGCGTCGCCGGTTACTTATCCATATATTTTTGCACATTCCAATGGCGGGATAATATAAACGTCGCCTCTAAATACTATCGTTACATTCATTCCCGCACCGGCCTGTACAAAACATCGAGCAGGTGAAAAAAAATTGGCCGTAATTAATAAATAGTGCAAGTGACTTGAAACTTTGAAAATATCCAGTGGTGTGATTGAAAGTTTTTTTTAATAAAAACAAAGAATGTCGACCGCTTGCATCAATGAACGTGTCTTTGAGGTAAGGAAGGATTCTTTTTACTAATTTAACAAAAAAAAAAAGGTTAAACCAAATTATACTTAATTGTTGCTAAATATTTTATCAAACAAAAAAAAATGTATAGCTACAATTGTCTTAAATTTATTTCATATATTTATATTATATTGAACTTTTCTATGTACATTTACATTCATATTCATTTAAAAATTAATCTGTCTATACCGAGGTTTACACCATTTAGAAACTGAAAATACTTAATATGATTTAGTTTAATTGATATCAACATTCATTGAATATTTTTAACTCATTATTTCTTTCTTCTGTTGTACCTTGAATTTAACAGTGAACGAAAAAGTATTATTTGGATTTTAAGTAAAAAAATATGAAAGGATATAGCACTGATCTTAGCTGTACATATAGGTTTGCAATTAGAAATATTAGAAAAAAATATTTTTTAACACTTAACTGTATTAACAAATTTGTTGAAATCGTCAACACTTGCATAAACGAAATTCCTAAAGAACGAAACAAAGATATTGAATAAATTTGTTAGAAAAATAATATTTCATAGAAAATTTAAGATTTTAAATTACACAGCAATAATTTTCGTAATAATTGAGTGAGGATTGTTAAAAACAATCTAAACAAAAAAAGCGGAATGCATTTTACATTCCTAGAGAAATCAATTAATAAAAAAAAATTGGAACTGTCAAAATATGGTCAATTCACTTCACAAAAAAAGTAAAAAATATATTAAAAAAATATTAATCAACACAGCCATGAGAGACGTGGTAATTTTTGCAAAGGTACAATATCCCATGTGACATATTTTAAAAAACGACTATTTTGATAAAATTGACTGTTTATATAGTCCACAGTACAGACCCCCCCCTGGAAAGTTGATTACCGCATACTTTATAACTCCTAAGGAGCATCCTTTTCACGAATCTACCACATTTTTCCTCTGCGACTTTTCTCTATTCCTCCGCTTTTCCACTCGGAAAAGTCCAAAAACATGGCAATTTCCCGGGGTCTTAAAAAGTCAAGACCACATCTTTTATTTTTAGCTTAAGTAACTGGAAATTTTGTTGCAAATGCCGATTTAAATTTGTCCGACAGAAATTCTTCCGACATTGACGTGTCTACCGGTCGAAACATGCCAAAATAACAGGGTATTGAAAATCAATTACCACATAGGTAATTTTTAGTAAAATTAATTGTAAATAATTAATTCAGTCAAAAAGTATTGTTGTCCGACAAATTTCAAGCCGCGTTTTTTCAGTCCGACAGCTGGAAATCGGAATTTTCACGGGGTATGAAAAATCGATTACCACATATCTAATTTTCATTTTTTCCACTTTTAAATTTACTGTACAAAATAGTGATATAAGTGTCCGACGATTTAATGTCCGCAAATTATTAAAAAATCAATAAATCAATAAACGTGATGAAATTTAATTTTTTCACTCCAAAAATTTCATATTTATAAATGGTTATTAATTATTATTATGTAAATTATTATTTGTTTCAAATAAATAATTATAATATTGCTTATTTTATGCTTAAAAATTTAAAAGTTATAAACAAATGAAGTTATTTTTGAGGCGATTAATACGATCTTAGTGCATAATGCATTATTTCTAAATAAATTAATATTATACTTGATATAAAAATCCTTTTTTCTCTTTCAAGTTTTCATTCGCGTTTGTTATTTTTCTTTACAAAAATTTTCCTATTTTTCTAAAAGAAAATCCCAAAACTTTTGTGCATAATTTTTTTACACCATACATACTTTTTTGAAATCGTTTAATTCTTTTCTCGATATTTATTTGGCTAAATTGAGCATATAGAGATTTACAATTACAAGAATAAAACGAAAAATATATACAGGGTGTTTCAGAAAGACCTCCCGTAAATAAAGGGGGTGATAGTATGACAAAAAATGAGAATTTTTTGTCTTATGAACTCTATGTCTATCTCCTCTTGTTTTCGAGATACAGAGAGACAAAATAAAATTTTTTAAATAACATTTTTATGAAAATTTCCAAATGGTGCGAAATATTTTTATGAAATTTGGTAGTCCGAGGTTTTTAAGGGTGCCAAATACGCTAGTCTAATTATTTTTTGTATATTTCATAGAAAGCGCTAGTTATGCTACATTCTTATTACAATTTAAGTTATATTTTTTTTAAGGTTAGGTTTTTTACCAGTCGGGCTCCAATTTCTATTGTACAATTTTATTTTCTAAAAATAATGTACTCTTGTTAGAACTTCCTAATGTGGACGATTTTCGAGAAAAAAGGCTTTTAATTAAACTCTTACAATATTACACTATAAAATAAGTGACTTTTCTCAAAGTAAGCTTGAGCTTTGAGAAGAGGAGATAGACATATAGTTCATATGACAAAAAATTCTTATTTTTTGTCGTCCTCACCCCCTGTATTTACGGGAGGTCTTTCTGAAACACCCTGTATTGTATATTTATATGGAATTTTGCTTAATACATGAAAATACCTTATTAGAAATTATAAATACATGTGCACATTTTTTACGAAATTTTTTTCATCTTTTTTTGTCGGACTGACGATTTGCGGATATATTTTTGTCGGACATTACAATTTTTGCTTATAAAAAACACTTTTCTATCGTGTGTTATTTTTGTCCGACATGTGGTAATCGATTTTTCATACCCTGTGAAAATTCCGATTTCCAGCTGTCGGACTGAAAAAACGCGGCTTGAAATTTGTCGGACAACAATACTTTTTGACTGAATTAATTATTTACAATTAATTTTACTAAAAATTACCTATGTGGTAATTGATTTTCAGTACCCTGTTATTTTGGCATGTTTCGACCGGTAGACACGTCAATGTCGGAGGAATTTCTGTCGGGCATATTTAAATCGGCATTTGCAACAAAATTTCCAGTTACTTCAGCTAAAAATAAAAGATGTGGTCTTGACTTTTCAAGACCCCAGAAAATTGCCATGTTTCTGGACTTTTCCGAGTGGAAAAGCGGAGGAATCGAGAAAAGTCGCAGAGGAAAAATGTGGTAGACTCGTCAAAAGGATGCTCCTCAGGAGTTATAAAGTATGTGGTAATCAACTTTCCAGGGGGGGGGGCCTGTACTGTGGGCTATTATTTCCTTCCCATATTCAGAATTATTCCAGCTAATGGTGTTAGTTTTAATTTTAAAAAACTGTTAAATTTTCAAGTAATTTGAGACATTTTTTATTAAGTACTTAAGGTGTAAAAATCTAGTTCATTGTTAACTTACGTTTATACATGATTTTTTAAAAAGGGGAATAAATTAAAACTTTTAGGTCCAGCAGAAAATCGCAGGTTAAAAGTGTCCTAAAATATCTAGTTTCATAATTAATTATTCAAGTAATAACAGAAAAGTAGCAGATAGCAAGGGGGTTTAGACGTATACGCGCGTTAACATAACAATTTTTTTTATATTTAAATGTTGCCGAAATATCACTCAAATGGTACTCAATACATATACCTATACGTATTGCTCAAATTTGTACACCAAGTTACCGCCCTAAGTATATTCAGTACAAATGAAATGAAATATACAATATTTTCTCAGGATATTAAAAATCTAAAACAAAAGAAAGTATTTCATTGCCAATCTATGTATATCCATTCATTTGTTTTATTTCCTATTTATTTTTTCAACATTTCTGAGCATAGCTGCTATTTAGATCAAGAGCGCTTGACCGGAAACGCTTTTTCAACCCTGATCTACTTACTTATTGTATCTATGTCAAAAATAAAAACACAATGAATAACTAATGCATTCATAAGTCATCCCTAAATATGCGTCCAATGAATTGAAAACAAACTTTATTCATTTGATGAATAAGCATGAGGTTACGTCCTTTAGATTTTTGGCAGAAACTCCGATCTTTTATAGGATTTTTTTATCAATCTATAAATATTATAGAACCCCTGAGCCCGAGGGTCAAGTTTTATTCATCTGTCAATGTATTGACTCGACTAATATTATTTCTTAATTATTCTGACCAGGCTACACAATCGAAAACTGTCATGACGAGGTCATGGCAAGTGGAAAACAAATTTTTGTTCCACACATCAATTTCTACATGAATAAATTCCTATCTTTTTTTCTCACAAATCCAGTTCCTTCCTAAATATCGAATTTGCTTTGTGAATACGTCCTCACTGTAATTTCCGTTTAATAAAAGACCTGCCATAAACTCAAACGACATAAGAAAGCTTCCACAATGGGAATAAAAGCTAACAAGCTTAAAATAATCGTTCTAGATATAGGAGATTTCTCCTAAATGATGAATGAAAACTTCTTACGCAATACAAGCTAGTGAAGACTGCCCACATGTGGTGTCGACACGTGGCTGCAAAGTCAAAATGCATAATTTATCGTTGTAACCTCTGCCAAATAATAGAAAGACTTTGAAACGTACTTTCTTTGAATTCTTGGTCACAAGGGATCCAGATTTTTGCCAAGATAGCAAAAAGAACTTAATATTGCCGCAGGTCGATGAAAGTCAATCTTTCATCATCAATTAGGATGTTATCAGCAATATGTTTGGACAAAAATCCATCCAAGACTTTAGCTTCAAAGCTGATTTTTTCGTGAACGGTTGTCATAGTTTTGTTGATCTTTTATTTGAATTGTAGTTTTTTTCCCCAGTAACAACGCTAAGACAGACATTTTTATTGATTGTTTTTTTTCCTAAAATTTTACCTCGAATTTTACACATCTATAAGGTATCACCTAAAATAGTGAATTTTTATTTATAATTATAATTTGAATTTATAAATGTAGCTTCGTCACAGAAAACGGTTCTTGAAAGAGTATCCATATGATTGCTCCACCATTCACAAAGATGAACTCTGGGAAGAAGTTCTTGTACTGGTTGGTAATGATAGGAATGCAGTCCGTTTTCTCGCAATGTGTCTTGCATGGCCATTGGCCATCCCACTTTGTCCAGTAATTACAGAACTTCTTCTCGTACTACTTAGTACCAGGATAATTTTCAACAAGCTCAATCTACTCTACAGCATTGTTTCTTCGCATAACTTCTCTTTCATAAGTTCGTTTAGGGAACGCACCTGTTTGCTTGTCTGGAAGACATACACGGTAATCATTTCCGCGTATTCTTCATTTGAATAAATTAAAGGCATGATTTTAATACAAATGAACTGACAATCAACTTTTTTTTTCTAATTCCAGCCAAGTTGCTAGGTTTATTAAATTACCTAGCAACAATGTAATTTACTGTTTAGCAACTACCCATACGATGTGGAAACTACAAACGCTGATATTTCAAGAATCGTTGGGAATTCGGGAAAAGTGAATAGAATCAATTTTGCTTAAAATTAATCTTTGAATTAATATACGAAGTATCTCGAATACCTCGACGGCCATCTATAGGTATAATTTTTTTTATTGTAAAAATCATTGTTGCTGATTTTTTACCGTTATTACTGTTTAAGTTTTTAAGAAACAATAAACTGCAGCAGTCTAATTTAACTGTGTATCCCAGTTATTAATAGAGATAATGACGTAAACAAAAAAACAAATCGGTCAGAAAAAATGGGAATACATTTCGAATCATGTCGACATTTCATTTTAGCGCGCACATAATAACAAAAATAGCTGATGCTAGATTATTCTCCATTAATCACAGTGTGTTAATATTATCCAGCACATTTAACGATTTTAGCTAAACGTCGAGTTAAACGTGCAAAACAATTTATGAATACTGACAGAACATTTTATAAAAAACAGATTCTAGTGTGGGTGAAACAAAAGTGTGCAATAAAAGTTCAAAATACAAATGCGAAAGTGACGTAAAATGGACGTCACCATCTCAGCAGAGTCCTGGCGGTGGTCCAAATCCAACATCCGCCAAATTCGCAAAATATTCGGCGTTATAAATATTACCAGTTCAATGTTAAAACTCTGCAAGTGCCATTAATACTATTTGGTGATGAATGTTTAATGTTAGAATTCGCGAATAATATTGAAAATAGGTCTAGAAATAGCGCGGCTCTAGTGAGATATGTTACAGCACGATGAAAATGAAGAGGTTGAGGAGGAGTATGAAGACGTTAAGTATTATTTTGTACTGGTTTTAAATTTGGGCCGATCCAAAGCGAATTTGAAGGGGATATACAAAAGAAATTGAGCCGGGTTATCTCCCAAATTCATTATCGAATAGTTTGTCAAACTTAGTTACATTGTATTAATATAAAAGCACTCCATTTTTTCAATTTGCATTTGGTTAAAAAATTAAATAAAAAAGGGGGAAGTTTTGCGATAAGGGAAACCGCATCAGGGGTAATTTGCTATACAAGCTTAAGCAATATTTGAATAATACCGATTACCTACTATTTGATTAATACTTAAGTCTCGAATCAAAAAAAACCCTTATGCTGAGGAAAAAATGAAATTATTACCTTCCCATTTTCATAAATATTGAAAGTAGTTCGATATTTTTGATCAATAGGTATTTACATCGTCACTGAATATTTTAAATTGTCGCGATATATTTTTACATTCAAGGACATTTCCACATCCAAATTTGAGCATCCCTAGATATCTAAAAATACGTATTTATTTCAGGACTCCCCCCTCAAGTCGAAGGTAGCTCTTTTCAACAAAGTGGCGGACAAACACGTCCAAAAGCAGGCTATCAACCCCTTTTCAAATGGAAAACAGGCTGGGAATCTACCAAGGCCAGTTATATCTAAGGAGGAATATGGAAGGTCAGTACCTATTTAAATATGTCACTTCAAACCAAAGTACAAAATCTAAGAAGATGAAGATGTAATGAGATGAGAACCGATATTTTAATATAACGAAAATGACGTCAGAATTTCTTTACAGGCCTCCAAAAGGATCTCTTTCTGAAATCAGAGCATTTAAAGCAACTATTCAAGTGAGCAGGGAGATGTTGGAGTTGTGCGAAGTTATCAATCAATGTGGAGAACCCCTTTTCACACCAGAAGAAAAAGTTAATGATCCCAGAATAGTCATCAGTTTTGGAGAATTATTCGGAGTAAGTTTAATATTTCGATTAGAATGTTTTTAAGAAGCATTACATTCAAACAATCCACAAAACTGTATAAAAAATATGAGGAGAAAACCGCTAGCGTAATTTGGTGTACAAGCTTGAGTACAGCCCACAATTTTAATATCATCCTGTATCTGACATTTACATTTTCTTAAATAGTTGTCTAATATTTCGAAAATTGTTTATATTTATCATACTAAGTACTAAATTGTCATTCTTTCTATTCATATCCATTTCATTATACGTAATAAAAATCGCGTTAACTTTGACATTTAAAACACTTGTTTTCGGAGCGTAAATATTTTTGTTTTTTATTTTTATTAAATTTATTTTCTTCCCAAACTTTACCAGTATCATAAATTCAACAAAAGCGCGGTATAAACAGTATAAAAAGTACTCACCATAATTCAAACTCTTTTACAAACTGAACTTTCCCTTAACCTAAAAATAGAAATGAAATCGTTATTTTGACTTACCTCTAAACTTTCTTCCAGATATATACCGCTATCTCAGACAAGGTCGTTGGCCTTCTTCTTAGAGCCAGAAAATACAAATTGGTAGACTTCGAGGGTGAATGTTTGTTCCAAGTGAGTATTTTTATTACTTTTTTTAATTTGCCTGTAAAATTCTGTCAAAAATTAACTGCTTAAGAAGGACAACATAACGAAATATACATTAGAGATGACCACTATACACTAATTTCCCTATCACTAACACTGATCACTATCACTATTTAACCTCAATACCCCATACCGAAACCGAATAACAAGAAAACTTGGATCTTGGATGAAATATGTTTCGCCCTCTATGGTAAAAATATCACATTTTCATTTTATTCTAAATAGTAGCCTTGAGTACCTATATAGTCAAAGATAGTAGTTGATGAAGAAGGCAACCTTTACTTGTTTTCTTGAGGTACCTAATCTTTGTCAACCAATAGCAGCAAAGTGTAGGGAAATTCACGTTCATTGATTGGTTGAAATTAACGAGTAACTAAGAAAAATTAATATTACAATAGCTGTTTTCTTTTATTCATGATTTAAGAATCATAACGTGTTACGATCCGAAATCTAGCAATCTGATTGGTTTCCATCGGATCGTAACACGTTATGATTCTGTAATCATGACTAAAAGAAAAGGGCTAATGTTGCTTATGTAAATGGTATGAGTCTGTCTTTTTATTGTTATTTTGACACCTGTGAAAGAATTAAAAAATCGGCGAAAAACCTTTGCGCCAAAAGATTAATGAACTTTATTTATATTGTCTAAACAACAATCTTACACTGAAAAAACAGACAAGTAAAAATAAGCATCACTATATTACGCACTTCAGTTGAATTCTGGTAAGGAGATCTTTCTTGAAAATTGAGATATAGGTTAGTCACATCATTTAGAAAAATCGATGTGTTTATGTTGTTAAAACTTGTAATGGCGTTTCTTTTTTATAATTAGGATTAATAGTTTTTTGTTCTTACCTGCCTCTGTAGCTAGCGCTGTAATATGATGTGTGAGATCTATCATGTGGACTAACGTGTGATATGACGTTATAACAAGCTTATTTTCCGGGTCCCCATTTCATTAATTATTTGAAGGTAGTAATTATAAAAAAAAATATGATTTTTTTGCATATTGACTAATTATATATGAAATACCCACCTTCTACTTTTGAATTTTGAACCAGAATTAAAAAATGTACTAAGTGAACTCATTCAACCAACCGCCGCTCCCTCTGGCGGAGCTATTTTGTACTTAAAAAAGCAGTTTTATAAAATTGTGGTATTCCCTTAATTTAAAGTTAAAAGTTAAATATTTTTGAAAAGATTAAGTTTAGTTCAAGGAAAATTTATAATGCTCTAATACATCTGGAGGCAAATTTAAAGATGATAGAAATTTATGACATGCCTTTACATTCTGAGATGAAAAATTAGTCCTCAAAGGAAAGGACAATCTCATTACAAAATTTGCAAAAATTTTAAGAATTATGCTGGTTTTATCGCCGCCGCCGGTAGAGAATGCTAAACAATGAACGTCGTTACAAGTGTTATTTTATATTAACATTATTAATTGACTATAAATAAGCTAGTGTTTTGTCCAATCCAATGATGAAGGCCAACAGAATATCTTAAAAGCTGTAAGTAGCTTTGAGTACATTCGTCTGTTACTTACAAATAGAGAATATTAATATTGTTTGTTTGATCACACACACATATACACAATAAATATAATCATTAACTTATCAATGAAATTCAAATTGAAACAATTTGTGAGGTTATGTTATATCTGCTACATTTTCTGTAAATGGTAAGGAACCAAAGTTCGAATTTTTCATTGAATTACTAATTAAATAACAGATTAATAGGACATTAAATGTTGAAGGCACCACGGGTGTTATAAGTTAATAGTTTCACCCTTGGTCGACATAGAAATACACTGTCGGCAGTTTATTATCCTTATAACACTGTAAGTCTGTATTATTATTTTATTTATATTCCGCTTTTGTTGCAGAGGAGAGACGACCATGTTCCCATAATCCTATCAAAACCAATCACTGAAATTAGGAAAATTTTGATGGAAAGGATGGAAACTGCTGGAAAAGCTCTACAGGAAAGTGGAGAACAGTACCTATAATAATTAGTAAAATATTTAATCTTAACTAAAGTAAAATATGGACCATATCAAATAACTAATATTCAATATCGTAAGGAGTTTCCAGCACACTGTGAAATTAACTTAGAGTATTAGAGTAATGTTAATAATACAAATTCCGCTTAGTTCGTAAGTTACGCTGTAGGATCATTTTTTAATTTAAATATTTTTATTTTTTTCTTGTAATTGTATATTTTAGCCAATTGTATCAAAATTTGTAACTGCTTAGTCTTGTTTAAACGAATCACATAATATCAATGGATACAAATGGTTATGTTTATACAATGTGATCGTAATTAACTTTTAAAATAATTTTTTTAAATCAAACTTCTGATAAATTCTTTCAAAATTGAAAAAGTATTGTGATTGCACTGATTTGGATCAATATATTTTTTATATAGTGTACAATTTTTTTATCGCCTTTCTTTTCTTGCGATTTTTAGGGAATAGGGAAGAGAAACGGAAAAGTCATTTATATTTATATATTTAACAGATAAATTGACAAAAATCTTTACATCTTTATAAAATGCAAGTGAATATAAACAACACTGAAAGTAAGCATAATAATTAGCACCGATATAATTTATGCAGAAATATGCCACTTTAAAATTATTTTACAAATAATGCAATTTAACAGGTAATAACAACCTGGCTGGTAAAAACATATTTTGTACAAGAGAACTAAAAACGATTTACATTTTTGTAACATAATAACTCGTTTATATAAATTAATAATTTAGCAAATATATAAAAATACACAAATTTACCTAAAAATATATATAAAATCACGACTTTACATCACTTCTGAGCTGAAATATTGGCCACAACTCAAACTTACATCTTAACAGTTTCGTCTTTGGAAAAACACTCAAGCCAGATCTAAACAAACGTCGGACACAAATCTCCGTATTAAAAATACATTCAATGCACTCCGACTGCTTGCAATGTGGAACATACTAGGCAAAACAACTGTGTCCGACGGTAGCTTTAACAATTGCATTCAATACAAAATATGACTTCCATTAAAGCAGAATTTAAAGTGCATGGCAAAATACTAACGATAAAAATATTAAAAACAATAAATACGTTTTGTGCCACAAAATTCAAATACTTTGAAACGAACGCCAGACCAACAGAAGACGTTTTTAATACAATCAAATCCTTAAGTCCCTCGAAAATCCCGTTACAAGATAACAAACAGTTTTTGCTAAATAAAAATATATATTATCGTTATTGTCGTGTACTAAATAAATAAATAAATTTTCAATTTTTTTGCACTAAGATTGTTGCTATCTTATTAATCCATTTCGAAAAGAAAAAAATCTTCTGTTCCTCGGCGTACATACGTAAAACACATTTAAAACTGTACCTTCATCTGTATCATTTTTCTATCACATTTTTCAATATATTACCTATAGGATAGACTCTGTGGTAATCCAATGCATTTCATGGATAATAATTCCAAAAATAGTTAAATTTACTCATTTGACAGAACCCATTAACGAAAGTTAAAAGTCAAGTGTAACCTAGAATAAAGTGGCATACGTTTCCAAACTCATTAAAACTCGTGCGAAAAATCAGCCTCACAGCGAAAGAAAAGTCCCGTTTTCGATATTGACTTTTAACCCGTTTAATGACATACAGTGACAAATAACCTCTAGAAACACAATGTCAAGTGAGTAAAGAGCACCGTTGTAGAGATAATTACTAGGCATCGATATACTTTTAATTCAACAACATCTGAAGTTCGACTCTACAGCACAATGAGAAGGTACATGAAGTAGGTTTGGAATAGGAATTTTTTGCGTCACGTCTGCTTTCTCGGCGGGGGCGGTGGCGCAGGACACATTAAAGAACTAGAGTTCCCAGGAATGTTCTCATACAGTGTGGGTTTCACCAGATCATCGGGAGGTCTGCAATTAAACAATAAAAAGGTCTTAACTTTTTCCAGACATTTCAGGGTTGTACAGAAATGAGTGGAAAATTTAAATTTTTGGTGCAAGTAAATTTTTGCGTGCACTCTTGTTAGTTTAAACATCTCCTAGAGGAAGCTAGTTACTATCTCTGTGTGATATAACTTTTTTGACGTTATTTTTTATATTGTATGTATATCTTTTATCATAATGTAATATCTCTCTTTGCACAGAAAAAATCGCTGATTTTTTAGAAAATTTCAATCACTGCCTTAGAGTTGACCAACTTCTGTCCTTAATATTGACAGTATCAGTAAAAGAATGAGCGATACCTCAAGGCTAGTTTCTTCAAACTGGTTTAGATCAATTTACATTGGTACAATTTTGCTTCTTTAAAAATGAAATAAAATTTTTACGTAATATTTTAGGGGAGCAAGATTGTAAGGTAATTTAAATTAAAACAAAATATTTTCATCTAAAGAAATTGACTACCTTTGAAGTTTCCCGAGACTGTACATTAAGGAATAGAAGTCAGTGGGTTTTAGAACAGTCAATTTTGTTTTTTATCAGAAGAAACAGCATTTTGGGTGCTTAAAACGAGTGTACCTTTTTTGTGTACAATTAAATTTCACATTATGAAATATCACTGGGAGAGACAGTAGTTAGTAACGTCTAACAGAGTCCAAAACTGATAAAAACTGTATTTACATCCTAAAAAATTTACTTATACCAAATTACAATGAAATACGTTGCTCTTTAGAGAAGATATGGCAAATATTTTATTATAAAAAATTATCTTCGACGCCTTGTATCTCAAAAACAAAAGAACCCCCTTAAATTTTTAACTCATTTTGGCAATACTCTGTATATATTTTGAAGTTTTGCCTACAGATTCAACGCTAGACAATAAAGCAGAGGCGGTCGCGATCCCATTGCGTCGCGGTCCGTTCTGGGCTGAGCTGATCGCGGTCTTTTACAAAATCACATTGGCATATAATCCTGCTCGCGCTCTCCTTTAAATAGTTGCGGTATTGTTTTAGTAGTTAAGAAAATGAGTTCTATGTAAGAGGAACTTCGTCTCGATCGCATTGCGGTCTCCCGAGATTCTTTGGAAGAGATCGGAGGAGAACGCGATGCGAGCGAGACGAGCTCAGGAACGTCTAGTGTGAATGCATACATTATAAAAGATCGGAAGGAACTCCACCACGTGCGATCGAGAATAGTACGGTCCGCAATACGACTGGACTGAGACCACCTAATGCGTTTTCTCTTAAATCATTTGGACTCAGAAACCCATTTTTGCTTGCAGCTGTATAAAATAGTCAATTTTTATACTTATGGGACATTTCTCATATTTACTGAGAATATCGACAAAAAGGAAAAGAAACTTTAGCAAAACATGTTTTACAAGAACTATTTTTCTGCGGTTTTTTAATACAATTAAATATAAATTGATGTATCTGATGGAAAGAATTAATTAAAAAACAAACAAACACTGAATTATATCATAAAATGTTAATATACAAAAAAATTATTTTTGGTGTCTACAGTTTTCAAATTTATATTTTTGTGTAATTATGAAAGAAGGCATCATTTTTGAAGGAAAATATACAGGGTTTAACTAAAACATATGGACAAACTTTAATGGTGCATTCTGTCACAAATTAATAAAAAAAATTTCTACTTATTAATATACACAGTCTGGTTAAGCTTTAAGAGGGCTCTATAGCAAATAGGCAACCAGCAATACATTTTTATAGATTTTATTACACAGTTTGTATAAATATGAATTAACAACAGACTTTCCTCCATTCTAACGCAGACTTAGTTTGAAACTCAAATTACTTTTTGCTCTAAAGAAATTTGTAATTTGTTGCTTTTGAACAAGCGGTCCGTAAATTACAAACTTTACACCAAAAATTAGGGGACTGCCTAGCCGGGTGTCTTGGCCGATGGATTTCGATCGGCCGAGGTAAGCATCACGGACGCAGGCTGGAACTTGGATGGGTGACCTAAGGCAGGCTCGTTACGTGGCTGTGGTAGCCTACCAGAGACCTGGGTCGCTCAACACCTTCCGCTTGTGTGTGGTCCCCGATAAAATGGTAATGAGAATAGAGCAATAAATCTCTATAACTCAAGACCATGCTATCATACATAAAAAATTTTACGAGACTTTTCCACCAAGCCACCAGAGGGTGGGTGGTGGAAAAGCAATTTTCCACCACCCCCTCCGACCGACATACATACATACATACATACACCAAAAATTAATTTGAGTTTCAAACTGAGTCTATTTTATAGAAAATCTGCGGTAAAATGGGGGAAAGTCTGTTATTTGTTCATTAATTCATACTTAAACAAACTGAGTATTAAAAATCTATAGAAATGTATTGCTGGTTGCTATAGAGCCCACTTAAGACTGATTTTATTGCGGCAAAGTGCGTGGTACTATCTATGTGCGGTCAACGGAAATACGTATTGGGAAGCCTTCCGAAAGACCGAACAAAATTTCATCGGTATACGTGTATCTACCAAGTTATAACGTTTTGCGAGAAGTGAGTATTTGACAGTTGTCATGGAAATGTACATTAAACAGCGTACAAAAATCAAATTGTGTTGTAAAGCCGACAAAACAGCCACGGGAACGTATTAACTATTACAAACGGCATATGGTGAGGAGTATCACATCCGACTGTTTCTATGATTTGGGAGGTACTGTGATGATAGAGATAGCGTACACGACGAAGAGAACCGGACCTCTCCACTTAAACCAAAAGAACAAAAACACCAAAGCTGTGCGCTCTGCGTTGAAGTCTGATCGTCGATCAATCGTACACACTATGCCACAATAAAATCATTTAAAATTTAATAGTTGGACCGTGTATATCTGGAAATACATATTAATTTTGAAAAGGTGTTAAAAATTTTAAAAACTTGGGGAAAACCAATTAAATACATATACATTTTTTAATGCTCTACATTTTTCGAACAAATCAAGACTTCAGAACATGGTTTTTGTCATTCATTTTTCATAAAAATTAAGTCTGAAACATCTCAACTCCTTTTTATTTATTTCAGAAAATACGAGAAAATCCCCAAAATTATCAAAGTTGGTACTCTCTCTTTCAATACGGGGTATTAAAATTTCCATTGGATAATACCGTTTCTGCCCTTGGAATTTTTGTTAGAGAGTGCGTCGCTTCAAAAACGGTAAAAAAAATATTTATTTTAACTATTGACTGACCATTTACTTAAAAAATTACAACTCCTCTAATAATGACAAGTTTAAAATTATCCCGACACTACTAATTGGGCTATAACATTTTATATAAATATTTGAATTTGACGATTTTAACACGTCGCTAGCGAACAGTCACAAATTTTAACATGATCTCAAGGTCATCCGCACCGTTATAGCTTCGACAAGTGGCGGAAGATGCGATGAAAATATGAACAAAATGAAAAATACAAATGTTTTGTTATGGCGATAAAGCATTTTGTAAGGTTAGTCAATTGTACATAAAAAAATGTCTGAAAAACGTTCACTTACAGTGACTTGTGACAGCTCGCCAACCACGGCATCGAAATCGTCTATTCACAGAAACAGCTATGGTCTACGGTTCTACTACAACTACACGCGACACTCAACGTCTAATATGAGCCTGCAACAACACCCGTACTCTCATGAATACAACATACAATTTGTTTTTCACTAATAACAAGCAAGATCCAAAAGTTCTCAACATTGAATTTTGAAAATGGAATAATTTAAACGTGAATTATGTTTGTGAGGCTGGGAAATTTTGGATCTTGTAATACTGCAAAAAAAACGGAAACTCACCTTGGTAGTGGAATTTCGGGCCTTGAGGGTTTTTTTGGATCTGGCCTCACGATCGGGCTAGGACACGATGCTGGGAAATGTATACTGTTGGACCTACTGCTCATGGAAGACATACTTCCGAAACCACTCGTTGCCGTGGGGGACATACAGCTGTTTCCTATGTCACTACTATATCTAATGTTAGTATATTCTCTGCCCAGTTGCATAGATTTCTGAAACAAACAGAAATTTCATGTGTATAGTATACCACAAGGATATACTTTAGCCTTTATCATTTTTATTTAAACAAAACTTTACAAGTTGCAAGCAGTTAACCCCAAGAGTTACTGATGGTGACACTAACCCGAAGATACGAAAAAGGTTGTTCATATCACCTGAATTTTAAGGGAGTGTTCTGCATTAGAGGTCCAAAAATGTTCCGCTTTATAAAGTCCAAAAATTCATATTTTTTATTGCCCAAATCGAAGAAAAACTATCTAAGAATATATTCTCAAAGTTGTAAGGGTCAATTCGAAGTATTTTTAAAGATACAGAACCGAGACCAGGTAAACGCCGAGCAGGTGAGCTCGGTCAGACTCAGCAGCTCGTACAGACTCAGCAGCTCGTACAGCTATTAGACTGAAATAAATAATATATAAATAGCACAAAACGTATGCGACCTATTGAAATAAACCAAAACTTATCCCCTTTAGTATTAAATTCTTTTATAGGTGACCTGCAAAGATTGTTAAAAAGTCTCTTTATATAACACAGCCACACAAAAAAAAATGTTTTCTGTACTTTTCATGTGACATTATGTTATCCATAGTATTTTTGCCTCCTGATCACGAATCCGGTGTCAGAATTGAGCTATCACTTCACAGGGGTTTCTTAACCCCAAAAAACAGGTCAAAAATAGCAAATATTCACGAAAAAGTGCTAGGAAATATACAAAACAATTTTTTTTCTATATTCAAATGTTCATTTATATGGTTAAGACCCCGCCGAACGTGGATCTGCGGTCAAAATTGATGGTTCTTTTTCTAACCTCAAAAAATTTCAGATTTTCAAAAAATAACAGATTCGCATCAAATTTAGTATATGGGGATTTTCGGGATTGCTGATCACGGATCCGAGGTCAATTTTGCAAAATTCAAGATGGCGGATCCAAAATGGCCGACAATATTTTCAAAAAATAACCCATTCACGCTAAATTTGGTATACGGGGGTTTTCGGGGTCGCTGATCACGGATCCGAGGCAATTTTGCAAAATTCAAGATGGCGGATCAAAGATGGCCGAACAAATTTTCAAATAATAATAATCGTGCCAAATTTGGTATACGGGGGTTTTCGGGGTCGCTGATTATGGATCCGAGGTCAATTTTGCAAAATTCAAGATGGCGGGTCCAAGTTGGCCGACCAAATTTAAAAAAAAATAACACATTTGTGTCAAATTTGGTATACGGGGATTTTCAGGGTCAGTGATTACAAATTCGAGGTCAGAATTGCGAAATTCATATTGTAATATTTTTGTTTACTTTATAATCTGAGTACCCAATCATGTTTTAACCTTCTTAAAGTACATAGGTAATTGATTAAATTTTTAAAAACGAATTTTGTAAATCTGATCTCGGATTCGTGGTCAGTGACCCCAAAAACCCCCCTATACCAAATTTGGCGCAAATCTGTTATTTTTTTGAAAATTCGTGATATCTGACCTTACTTAATTGACCCGTTTTTTTAGGTTAGAAAAAGAACCATCAATTCTGACCACGTATTCACGTTCGGCGGAGTCTTAACTATATAAATGAACATTTGAATATAGAAAAAAAAATTTTTTGTTTTTCTTGGCCCTTTTTGTTGATTTTTTGTTTTTTTTACCGGTTTTTTTGGGTTTGGAATTTCTTTTTTTTGTGTGGCTGTGTAATTTTTTATAGCACGTTAAAAGTAATTTTTTCTAAGTTCACTGAAAAGAAAAATAAATCAGAATTACGAGTTAAATCTGTCCCGCCAATCAGAGACTGCAGTGGCAACCTCTTCCCATAATATGTAATTTCAAATCTAGTTCACTTTACCTAGTTTGTGTCCAATGTAATTGAAGAACAAGTATATACCAACTTCTCAAACTCTTTCAACCTAACATTTTACTTGGAAAAACTTAATTACTTTGGTTTTATTTAATGGAACCCTACTAAAATTATTCCACGTATACTTGCAAGACAGAGAAAAATATATTACTATAATAGTCACCAGTCTGATTACTTTTTATCCACATCTGGAGTTCCCCAAGGATCAAATCTCGGGCCAATGTTGTTTTTATCATTCATAAATGACTTGTCTTCCGTGGATATGATGTGGGCGTCATTTTTTGAAGATGACCTTAACGTATTCAAGAAAATTGACTCCCAAATATTAAAAAGATCCAATATGGTTAAGACCCTACGAGTTTCTTTTTTGAAATTCTCCTCTCATATTGAACACGTCTTAAAAAGTTCAACTCTCATAATAATGGGATTTATCACGAGAAATTGTTTTAAATTTAATAATGTGATTACGCGATATAATTATTTTATTGTTATGTTCGTTCTGCGTTGGTAAATGGTAGTATCGTTTGGTTTCCACATTTCCATATTTATGTTACTAATTTAGAAAGCTCGGAGATATTTTTTTAATTTTTAGGCTTTATAACACTCGTGGAGCAAATGGTATACTTACTTGATCAGCCTTCATTCTTTCAGTAATAGTTTCTATATGATGTTGCACCGCTAAGTAAACGAACTTGTATTGTGCTTCAGTCTGGACCATTCCCGAACGTTGGGATCTGACCATTTGGATTGTGCGTTGGATGTCGATTTCACAGTCTAGTCCTAGAATTTTAAAATTACCCAGTTAATATAGGATCGGAACTGACGAACGGGGTATGCTCACCATTCTTTTTCAGTTGGTCCAAAATCATGTCTATGACTATGAAGGTGCCAGTTCTTCCGATACCGGCAGAACAATGCACCAAGATTGCGCCGGGGGGTTGAAGGGGCGTCTCTTGCTGGATGCACTCCTGCCTCTTGTTCACCTCGTGCAGGAAGTTCAGAACGCAGCCCGGGTCAGACGGGACGCCGTGGTCGGGCCAAGCCTAGAAATAAATTTATACGTAGGGTGTGGAGATTTATATTCATGTCATTCCCTCTCGACACCAGAAGTCCTCAATATGTTTGCACCATTTTGTTAAGTAAAATTAGTATTTCTTTATTTTTTTGTATCATACAACAAGATAGAGAACTATGTACACCCTGAGTATTCTCATTTAGCCAAACTCTGAATCTTACCTGAAAATGGTAGTGATAGACTTTTCTCTCACAATTCGATCCGTCATGTGTCACCAAGAACTCCCTCAAGGTGTAGTGCTGAGTAGACGACGAGGTCAGATTCTTAACTCTGATTTTACCGTAACTGCAGCTGCAGCTCTGTTCGGGCCAGTACCTAGCACACTTGTTTTTTCCTCTCTCCGTTTCTTTGGTAGTCATAACGATAACCCTACAGTTTTCCTGCCAGACCATCTGCCAGAAGTCTGCGATAGTCGAAGGAAGGCAGCCCTGAGTGGCTATGTAGACCTTGCCGCTAGGATCGCTCCCCAATTCGGTGCCTATGGTCTCATCCGCCTTCCACCTGATGTAATTCGCATTTATGTAATCGGATCCGGCGATGGTGGGATCCACATCTTTTAACTTCACTCGGGTATCGTCGACTAAAAAAAGTTTACAATTGTAAAAGGAATTTCAGGAAACAAAATTTAAAAAAACACAAGCCACGAAAAGCAAAAAATAAGGTACTTACAGGGTAGGATATTTTTGTATCTGTTTTTGTTCCTATTTTCCGGTTTAATACCCTCTTTCCGTTGATACAAATGTTTGAACTCCTGTTGTTGCAGTGATTCAAACTCTTCCCAGAAACCAGCCTTTCCAAAACTGTTGGGCCCATTTTCGCTCTAAGAGACGATTAAAATTGTTATAAAAAAATTGTGATCCACTTAACATCAATCCATATCTGCTATGTATAAAAAAATTACCTGAAGTTGTTTAACCCTGGAATGTATTCCAGAGGCATTGATTCTGGTGGCATTGAAGGGTTGTTTTAGGTGAACAACAGTGCCGGAAGTCTCAACCATGGGGTTCTTTTTGTAGTGTTCTATTAAATCGGCCAAACTACTGAATTGGTCGCCACCCCCTACATCATATCTATTATCCTAAAAGACAAATAGATTGCACTTTTTATGACGGAAAACTGTCCGAATTTGACAGGAGATCAAATGTGATCAATATTGGATTAAATAATTTATTTCTCATTTTAAACTTACCGGTGTGCATCTGATCATAACGTGGGTGACTTTATCATCTGTTCGAACAGAAAGAACAAAATCCCCAGGTTTCGATTGGCTCTCTCTGACTAAAAAACTGCCATTCTTTCCCCTATCTAAAATTAGTTTCTCCGCTTCCTTCGCAGATAAGTGTCCATGAAACCATCTGTGGACAAAGATAGGCATATATTAAAATATTTTATTGAGTCACACTATTTAAAAATCCTTATCCTTTGTAGTCGAGAACATGGAATCTTAGGAATGATTCATTTCCTTTGCTGGTAACAAGATATCTTATAGACTAGACTTAAACCTACAGAGTGATTCTTGGCTAACATAATATATTAGTTTCCGAGTCTGTTATATAGTAAAATCAAATTTGGAGTGTTTCAGATGATAAACCACAAAATTCAATGGCAAAGTTAAAGATGCTTACCTAATAAGATTCTAAATATAGACTATCTAATGATTTTACGGAATTCTGATTTCAATTCCACAAAAAAAATTAAAATTGCATCACCGCCCACAAGTGGACATATTCTGATTACAGTTACAGTTCACAACTACTAAAACTATTCAAGAAAATAATTTGAGGTGTAGTAATACAATAGAATAAGTGGCCAATTAAATATAATGAAGTTAGGTAGGGATTCTCCCCGGGCTATTACAAATACATTTTAATTTATTTATTACGTATAAGCGACAGGTATTTACCACTTCAGAACAAAGACTCGCGGAAATTTCATAATTGCTTTTCCACAATATAAAAATCTATTTTTAATTAAACTTACTACGTCAATAGTATTAATAACTATGTTTTATTTATTTAAGAATTAAAGTTAATTTAACTTAAGTCAAGTGCTAAAGTAATGTTATTTCTTGATAGAGGTTGTCGCCCTCATGCAAACTACCTATATTTATAGGAAATCAAATAATTTTGTGCGTTCATCCCAATTTTTCACAGAATATTATGAATGTAGGATATATGAGTATAAGAATAAAATATTTTAAGTTCAATTACGTAAAATGATATTATTCTTGCGAATAGCATACAGAATGAACCTTGTATAAAAATATTCCAATTCTATGTATTAAAAATTCTTATGCCGGCGTCACGATTTCTTCCGATCACTATATATGTTAATCCGTATTATTTTTTATATCCAATCTTACAAGTTCAAAAGTGGAACGTTCTGCAGACTGTCGTAGGCGAATCTGACCATATCTTCAATTCCCAAAACCCCTTTCCGACTCTAAATTTACAAAACATGTCGAGCACGAACGACTAACTAAACTATCTGTAAATAACACAAACTGCCTCTATTGGAAATTCAAATACTCACATTTGCAATTCAACTAGGCAATGCTTGATTTGCGGTAAAACTGCCAACGATCTATCCTTGACACTTTAGGAAAAAATTCAAGCACAGTGGCTATAAATCTTAATTAATAAAGTAGGTCCAATAAGAAACAACTTATATTAGCTTGATAGTCTACGCAAAAGACACAATTTTGTTTTCAATAACGAGCTGTTGACTGCACAATGCCGCTGGTAGAACTGCTGGCGATATTGTTCAACATTGTTTATGCGACGTTTAAAAAACCTTATAGTTTATATTTATTTACTCGTTTAATTATAATTTCAAATTCGTTTGCCATTATCAGACGTATAAATAAGGCTTGGTTTCTAGATTATGTAAACTGTTAGGATACGAACGGTTCTCGATTTGGAAGTAAAAATGCCGAGATGCCATAAAACGCTTGCTTACATTTTGTACGCAAATATCAGGTTGTGTAATTAATTTTTGTAAATAAACGCATCACGGTTAGAAGCTGTGGTATATGTAATAAAGCATCAGTCGTCCTTAGGTACTTTTAATGGCTTTAAACACTTGTGTTGTGCATGTGGAAAACGCCAAATGTACCTACTTGTATTTACGAGGGCAGATTGCTGCAAACCAGTTAAGGAGGTTTTCTGAACGAAGTGTCGTCTTGATTTCAGTTTTTTTTATATCGGAATTCCTCTACGGTTGTATCGTTCAAAAATTTATATCGAGTTACGGGCTTACTTAAATAAACGATAGTCACACACTAAAGCGAATGCCGATGTGCATGGCTTTTGTGATATTTTCTGAACTGTTAGGTATTTAACAATCACCTTGACTAAGTTCACGAATGTGTGTGTCGTGCAGAGATTTCAGAATTGCTTACCACACTCATTACTGACATGTCAACATGCTCTACACGTTCATCTACCCTGTTGGATGGTTTATTCAGTGATGTACATTTTCCAAATGTTTTTCTGTTCTGCTACAGCTACGCTGTTTCGTTTTTTTCCTGTTTTTCACACAATCGCTGTTTTGTACCTGTTTTCAAACATTTAATATCATATTGATGTTAGATTTAAATACGTACATCTTGAAATAATAAAATAAAGAAATATGCCACTATAACGACATTAGTAGAAGTCATAATGAAAAAATATGGTTTTCGGCGCATATTCTATTTTCCTTTTTTTTGGTTATCGAATTATTACAAATTTAATATTCGCCATCTCCACCGCAGTCAGGACGAAATTTTAATACCAAGCGCGTAGGTAGCGGACGTCGTTAGCTCAACTCGATTCGCTATCAACTTCTTGATTTGCATTTATAAGAATGTGAAATGTGACGAAATATAATCACCGGATTCCAAGACATTAAATCGGGGATTAAAATGGCATTCGTTTAATCGATTTTGCATCCTTTATTAAGTCAATATCCTTAGATTTTAATTAATTCTGGTACATTTATGGTAGTTTATTGTTGGCTATTATCTGGTTGAATTTCAACTTAATCATTTCTACTTGAAGTAAAGTCGTGATTAAACAATGTATTTAGTTTAGGCTGGTCTTAATTTAACGATTTCTGCATTGACCAGTTTTTTGCGTTATATGTGTTGAAGTCTAACAAGTTATAAGTAAATATATATCACATGCACACCACGGGTTCACGTGTGCTACAAAAACGTGGAAAATGGACCTTAATAACGCTCACGCTTGTTAAATAAAAAAATTTAAGTAAAATTGATATATGGGTATTTTACAAATTATTTACATATTTAACGATGTTTACCCTAATCGCAAACTTTTAGTACCTTTAGAACACCATTAAAATTGATATTTTTTACTGTATTACTGATAACACATTGGATATTAGTTGATTATTTTGCTAACTACCTACTAACAATTTCTTAATTTTAGTTACAATACTCAACTGAAAAATTGAAAAATGCTCAGAAATTTAGACTTAGAATATTATTATTCTTTAAGTTGTAAGTACTGGACTTATATTTGGTTACCTACTCCTTTTCTATGACCTTGCCCATATATTGGCCTGATATACGAAGCCTTCATAAATGATTACAAGCCACATGACCAGTAATTTTGTTTGAAACAGTAATTTTATTTCCTTGGCGTTGGCAATTACATTCTGTCAAAATTAAAAAGTACTAAAACAATAAGATCAAAACTACGTTTAAATGCAATATTTCAATTTACCGGCTCATGATTGGTGTAATTTTTCACGACAATGGTTTGTTACTGTTCATTGTAAGCGAATTATTATGACTGATGACGCTAAATTGACATTTGTGCATTTTTCAGTTGCGTCCGTTGTCCGTGTCTGTTTTCTTTTGAGGTCATTCGCTGCCATCGCTTTATTGGTTCTTTTGCTTCAATATTAAATCGTACACATTTAAAATCGATCAGCTGTTTTCACAGTTAAACTTTTGGCATTTCGTCGAATTACTCGTGAGTTTTAAAAGGGAACAAAATTTTGAGGTTAATAATATTTTTTATATCTTAACGCATTATACCGTTTACTCCAGAATAAAATGCCTGTAATTGTAATGGCTCATTTTCGAAGCGGAACTCGAAATGAAGACATGGACATACTCTTTACAATCCTGCACTGAACAATTTATGACGGAATTTCTATTTTCTTAAACCGGAAATTTGCTATTGTTAAAAGATTTGAAACCAAACGCTGCAAAATCTACAGACATACCAATTGTACTTATAGAATATTTACTAATATTGATTTATTAAACAATTGCAAATAATTAAAAAAAAAAACACCTTCTAACACGCATCTGTATCTACTTAACAGTTTAAGGTCAGAGAATTGTTCAATCATGAATTTAAAGCTATTATTTCAGACATACGGGAAACTGCGTACAACTCATTCTTGTTATTAGATCCACTTTCAGTTTCTAAGACACTACCATTGTTTCAATGGATGTAGAACAAATGTGTACATTAAGAGAAATCTACATCTACGACACTGCACACAGCAGAGGCGAACGAAATGGGGACAGTCTCGTGGTGAAATTAAAAACTACAAACAAAAATACGTTCACTAGTTTCAGTGTAAATAAATACACAAATTACAAAAATATAAGTTCAGTAACACTTGTTAAAACAATTGTACTTCAGTTAATATGTTACGTAAAAGTAGTTATATCGTACATAATTGGAAACCCAATATCATCCTGTTGGTATGCAAATTCTTCACTAAGATAAGGTCAAGGCCTAAAGAAGTCATATATAAAAAATTTGGACACGCCCATATCAGTTTCTAGGAAACTGTACCGGATTTTAATCATATTCTCCTTCAACAGACGCTTTGTTAGATTTTTGGAAATATTTTTCAAATTTTAAAATGGCTGGTTAAAGTATTAGTTTTAAATATTTTTCTCTATATACGATCCTAAGTATACTGAGAAGCCAAGATTCAATTTACGTCATGCGTACATTTCTTCCAAAAACGAAATCTATCACCGTCTTTTAATTCGGATAATCTAATCAACCATTAGACTACAAAGTGACTCATTTGTTCAAAATATGTATTTGTGTTCGCTTCTTTGCCATATTTAGTGTCTATTCTGCCCATCCGCCTCATTATCAATTCACTCCTCGTACCTGATTTAGTTCCTTTTTGGTCAGTGAGAAGATCTGATGATGTCATGATGTAGCTGTCTGCGGTTTAACGTATAGCAGCAAATTCACTAGAAGATTACACGTTTACCTGCTTTTCAGAATGTAGAATCGCACCTGTCTGGAAATCATACCATATTCAATTTCGAAGAATAATCAAAACTTGATCAGGGAATCTGCGCATCAGTTAC